AAGTAGCGCTGCCATCAGATTTCTCCACGTTTATTCACTCTGGTGTATAAAAACATCTTCTCTAGTCACTGTTGAGAGTTTCCCACAGAACTGATAGGCTTCTACCATAAGCTGTAGTGAAAGCAGAGCCTGGATCACTCTCTATCACTATAGCACTCACGCTAACACTGGGCCCGATTCACAAAGAGAGGCACTCCCAGGTTTAGCCTCAGGAGGATCCCAGCTGCCATGTTGAAAGACTTTACAGTTCCCTAAGGTTGAAGGGAAGTTTTGGAAGAATGTAAACGTCAGGCAGTGCCTTATCCTGAGATACGTTTGGATTTTTCCTTAGTTTTACTGGTCATAAAAATAAGCATCCGATTGATAGGCTAAACTGAGAGTTCACTGACTTTAGCTTTTTTAGCATTTCTAGCTATCTAAGCTAATGTTGTAGCCTTAAAATAGATAATGATTTAAATTGTGATTATTTTGTTTACATATGTATGTATATATATATAAATTGCTGCTGTCAGAATAAAACCTCATATCTCCAAAATGGTAACTTTACAGTAGAAGGAAAAAACATACTTTACTTTTAATGTAAGTCAATGGAACCAGACTTTTTTCCAAGTTATTTTGAGCCGTTTCTATTGGTCCATCCATTATGAAGTTTACACCCAATGTAAAGAGCAACAAGGCACTTTCAGATTATGTCAAAACTAAAAATTTATAATCTAAATGATTATAATGCTAATTATATATATATATATATATATATATATATATATATATATATATATATATATATATACATTTATGGTGAGCATCATTTACAATGCTTGTGAGCTTTATAGAAAAACAAGGGATTTAAACTTTTATAATAATAAAAATAATAAAAATGTAACACATAATGTGAGCTAAAGTATAAGGATATAGTAAAAAACAGAAAACTAAATAAATTTTTGGCACTTTAAAAAACATTGATCAGAACAAGCCAATAAAATTATGCCAAAAATTTTACTAAGTAGAATAATAAAAGAAAATCAAACGAAACAACTGAATAAGACAAAAACAGAGCCAGTAAAATATATATATTAATAATCATAACAATAAAACAGTTGACAAAAATCAAAAATGAAACCCAAAACTAAAAACCTCACACTAAATCAATTATAGAGTTGCAGGCTGAGCGGAGGTGGACATTGCTTCATTGCGCCAGTCCCTGTTTAAGTGCTAATAGCTGCCTCTTGTGGAGAATCTTCATCCTGCTAAACATGAGCGAGTGAGTTACAAAGCTACATTTATGAGGTTCTTTGCATCTAAAAGCAGACAGTTTATAGCATGATTACACAAAAAATACTGTTCTATCAGTGTGACTCTTCACATGCATATAATATGAATGTACCTTGAAATTAATTTTATACTAAATTTCGATATTCTGACCAAATCTGATTGAGCTACAGCTCCTCATTAGGTTGAATGGAACTTACAGTATTCTGTAAAGCTCGTCACACTTAGCAACAGTAGCTATGCAAGAATATGTTTGTGGGCAGATCATGAAGGGTCCAGTTGGGGGTCACAGAGTCTGTCAAGTTTAGTAAACTTCTAACAGCCCGTGCTGGAAGAATGGTGGGAGTATTGAGGGACAGAAAAAAGAGAGGAGATGAAGGAGTAGACATGCTTTTCCTCTAATCGAGGTCATTTCCAGTAAAGCCTGATCTCCAGACCACTCCAGAGGAACACAGGACCCCCTTTGGTGCAGGGGGAACGCCTCCAGCTGAGCCGGACCGTAAATTACTGCTTTGGATTTAAGCCCAGCTCTGCTCTCAGAATCGCTCCTGACCTTATTCCAGTCCAGCTGAAGTGCTCAGCGGTAAGCTCGACTAAATCATATCGCTTTCTCAACACCTCCGAAATAATAACTTTATAACAAAAGAAAAGTGTCCTTTAATGTTTGTCAATTCAAGATTTCAGTAGCGTTGGTTCAGTTCTGTTGGTCCATTAATTGTGATATTAGAGGCATCTGGTGTTTGTAATAAAAATAAATAAATAAAAATGTGTGTATAAACGAAGAAAAGGTTTTGGCGAGGGTTTTTCTTTTTAATCTAACTTTTAATTCAAATTTAGCTTTATAAACATAATTGTTCCTTGATTGATTTTCTTCTATTTATCTATTTCCCATGTGTCAAACACAAGGCCCGTGGGCCAGATCAGGCCCATGGCACAATCCAAACCGGCCCTTGAAGTTATTTTGATTTTCTATTAATATTAGCCCATTTCACAATGAGCTGCACTACAATCCCCAGCATGCACTGCAACGTAATTTGCACTGACATTTCACTCCCTTCAAGAATCTATGTGACAGCAGGTTTTTACCTCACAGCAGGTCTTACCATCACTAGCTGCGTTTCAGCTGCAGTTCACCCAACATAAACACTACAAACTCTCAGCAGCTCAAAAACTGATTTAGAATTATTGAACTTGCAGAAAAGATGTCAGTTGTCCAGACCAGACACACAGATAGGTTTAACAGACCTACATTCTGGGGACATTTAGAGAGATTTAACAGTGATCTGTAGCTAATGTAGCCTAAATATATCAAGTATTCACATGTAATATTTGAAGATTCACTACAAGTGAATCATGGCCACCATGATCTATTTTATCTTAGTTCATTTTATTCTAAACTTAATTAATTGTTAAATTTCTTATTGTTGTATCTTAGTTTTATATATGTTTACACTTACAGATACGTAAAATCACTACATATTGTGTTTATAATATGTATGTTTATTCTAAAATGAGTTTCTCTAAGGAAAAAAATCTTTAGTTCAGAGAAAAACTGCTTTTACATATGATTTTCTCTGGTTCAAATAAAAGTCAGCAAATATCCAGAACTTGTACACTAAAATTGGCTCCCTGGTTGAATTTAGAGGTTTTAATGCACCCGAACAAACAAACCCACACTGTTAAAAAAGGTTCTTCAAGGGTTCTTTAGTAAAGACTGATATAATATAAAACCATGAACACTCAAACAACGTTTGCATGCTTAATTGGTTCTTTGCATGGTGAAATGGTTCTCCAGATTGATGAAGAATGTGTTGTAGATGGGTCTATACATCTATAGCACCAAAAAAGGTTTCTGCAATTATTATGATTTCAAGCTTGTAACAATAGAAAAAGCCTTTTTGGTGCTACAAAAAGGAAATACACAACACATTTGCCATCAGTCTGAAGAACCTGAGTGTTCATGGTTCTATATAGAACCATTGTCCTTACTAAAAACCCTTAACCGTCTTTTTTAAGACTGCACTGCTTGCATTCATAAAGACAAATATCAGCAATTTTAGTCGTATTTTGCTTTTCTGCCTGTTGTTCTATTTTGTTTACATTCTGTTTTGAATTTTAAGAGACAAAAACAAAGTGATGGATCAACAAATCTCTGCTCTTGGCTTGTGTTTGTTATGAGAGAGCGTTTTTTGTAGTAAGTCATTTTCTGCGCACTGTCAGTGTATTCATGAATTCATGTATTTTGATTAATGATGAGCAGTGTTGGTGCTGTAACAGAGCAGCTAATTATATCAGTGTTTGGCTGCTGGCGGAAACAGACGCCGCCTGAATGTTTGTGTCACTGGAAAAATGAGAAATGATTAAATCCTCTCTTTTGCTGTATCATTCTCTCCTCCCCCTTCTTTTCCAGCTCTTTTCTGCCCGCCTTATGATTTGCATGTGTGTCATGTTTGTGGGATCTACTGTACACGAGCTGCCTCAGTTTGACAGGAATGGGCCTCAGCTGGACCTTCATACTGTATTAAAAGACAACGACAGATTGGCCAAAAATAAAAATCGACACACTTTTACCCCCTTAGCCCAAATGTAGTAGACGCCAAGGCATGTTTGTTGTGTAAAGTTTGATTCTTTAGTTTTGCACTGGTGCTAAACAGTTAATTGAGGGGTCAGTGCTACGTTCCCAGTGTTTCCATAGTCCTTTGGTTCCAGTGTCCTGTGTTTCCAGGGTCCTATATTTGCAGGGCCTATGTTTCCAGGGCCTTACATTCAGAGGGCCTATATTGCCAGGGCCTATGTTCCTAGGGTCCTGTATTCCCAAGGCCCTGTGTTCTTAGGGCCCTATGTTCCCAGCACCTGTGTTGCTAGGACCCTGCATACTCAGGGCCTATGTTCCTAGGGCCTATATTGCCATCGTCTATGTTCCTAGGGCCCTATTTCCCTAGAGTTCTATATTTCTAGAGCCCTATATTCCCAGGGCCTATGTGTCTAGGGCTCAAGTACCCAGCGCCTATGTTCCTAGAGCCCTGTGTTCCCAGGGCCCTACATTCCCAGGGCCTATGTTCCTAGGGTCCTATATTCCCAGGATCCTATGTTCCCAGGGCACTATGTTCTTAGGGTCCTATATTCCCAGCACCCTATGTTCCCAGGACCTATGTTTCTAGGGTCCTATATTCCCAGGACCCCATGTACCTAGGGACCTATATTCCCAGGGCCCTATTTTCCTAGGGCCCTATGTACCCAGGGACTATTTTCCTAGGGCCCTATGTTTCTAGAGTCCTATGTTCACAGGGCCCTATGTTCCTAGGGTCCTATCTTCCCAGGATGCCATGTACCCAGGGCCTATGTTTCTAGACTCATATATTCCAAAGGTCATGTGTTCTTGGGTCCTGTGTTTCCAGGGCCTATCTTCCCAGGGTCCTATGTTCTTAGGGTCCCATGTTCCCAGGGCCCTATTTTTCTAGGGTCCTACACTTCTAGGGCCTTATGTTCCCAAAGAGCAAAAATCTGGTCAGTCTGAAATTTCACTTTGCTGGTTGCTGTTTTCTCCTGTCAGTGTATGAAGGACATGGACATGATCTTTTGCCGTAAAGGCAGTGTTTGTTGAACCTGCTGTCAGTTTGAGTCAGTTTGCCAAAAGAACATAGACTAATTGCAGCTCCATGGACCGTGTTCTTGTGTAGTAGTTCCAGATGGATTTTAACCATGTATCTGTCATTCTATGTTTTCTGCAGATGATGAAGTTTGCCTGGGATAACTACAAGCACTATGCCTGGGGGAAGAACGAGCTCCGGCCGCTGACCAGAAACGGACATATCGGCACTATGTTTGGTGAGTAGTAAACTGGATTGTGCTGGATTTCTCTCAGGTTGGCTGGGTGACATTTACAGCTTGAGGGTTTATGGTGTCTCTCTTGTATATTCATATACTCCTGTGGAGCCTCCAGATCATTTCCCTTTTTGTAGGTGTTGTGAATGATGAGGTCCAGGAACGCTGAGTAGTGCTGGTTGCTGAGCTCCTTTGAGAGAAAACTAATCACAGCAATAGTCGTGCACTTGTGAGTGATAAACAGTGTGTGTTTTTTTATTACCATTTTCTGTCACTTCTGTCACGTCATTAAACAGGAGTTAAAAGTGAAAGTGAAACAGTTTAGACCACTTTTGTTGATATGTTATACATAGTGAGTTGCTTGTTGAAACAACATGACCCATTTCTCTAGATTGAAGCATGAATATGAATAAGTTGCTGGATTGGAATGAATAAAAATTTTAGGAGAGTCGAAGAGTCATGAAAGTTAACAAAATCGAATAATGACTTTCATTGTTTCGCTCTGTTATACATTCTAATATTAAAGAACCATGATGGATGATGGTTTGATAGAGTTTGATGAGTCAATAATGTTTTGGTCAGAGTTTCATGTCTAGTTTCATGTTTAGTTCAAAGAATTGTAGAAAGATTACTGCAGCTGGCTAAAGGCTGCCGGCCGCCTGATAAAATGAGCATAATGAGGCAGGTACATATAAACATCAACTTTGGGATTAAGTTATCTGGCTAAACTGAGAACTGATGCTTCGTGAAATACCTCCCCAGATCTAACCCCACTTATTTTAACTGGTTTATTTATTCTCTTAATAAATAAACAAACAAACAGTACTTTCAGAAAATCACGTATGTGAGAATATCACATTCATTCAAAATGAAACGCAACATAAGAGCTCTCGCTAAAACACACATGAGAGGAAACCAAACCAATGAGATTCATATGAAGTGATCATTTAAGGCTTAATACAGTTTTAGATCACAAGATACTGTTTCAGTTGTTTAAAAGAATAGCTTTAAAATCATAACTTTTTATTTTTCAGTTTCTGGGATGAAATCTCATTTCATTGACCCCATAAATGCCAGACAGTTTGCATTGAAGTCTGTGTAGTTACTACATTTTCTTACTTTTTATATCAGCACTGCTATTTTTCATACACAAAAGCTAATGGAGGCCTCATCAACCAAGGCTTGCCATGTTCAGCAGCTTATTACTCGGTAACTACATTCCTAAGGAAAACTATGCAAGTTATTCTTAAGTGATAGTGAGAAATGGAAGTGAGGACTCATCCGTATCCTAAGCCTTTAGGGGTTCATTTTTAACCATATAAACTGATACCAGCTAATAACAAAGTTTATTATAATGTTTAACTCCTTAAAATTACTATCAGTGACAAGGTTTTCATACCGGATGGGCTTTGATTTATAGGAAACAGCATGTGTTGTCACTTTCCAGGTGGCTGGCTCCCAGATTTCACCCAAATTCCTAGTATTCCTTGTAGAAATCTTCTTTAATTACGAATGATATTTCTTTCCATGGTCAGACACTGGGAAAGAGAGCCACTGGTCAGCTGTTCTGTCTTTTCCACTGACAGTAGATGGTGCTTACAGTGTGATAAGTTCAGGTTTTAGCCTGAGAGATCCACAGAGCGGCGGTGAGACACGAACCGAGGGCCTGTGCGCTTTCGTCCGGATTAATGTCACTCGTTTGCGGGAAGCGGTTTGTTCCGTCTGACAGATTTTCCTGACAGGTTTTTTTCAGTGTCACTTAGTGCCATTTAAAAGGCTGCTGGAGTGTCGCACACACTGTGTGTCCTTGCTAGGAGCGCATAACACACACCCGTCTCCGTTTTTGACACATTTCTGCTTATTTTCAAATTAATTGAAAGCTGACCATCCCCTTCTCTGCCCTCCAGGCGTTTAGAGCTCCCAGTGTGGAGAGCAAAAAGTGAATGTGAGTGCTTTAAAGGCCTGTGCGGAGTATTCCATATCTCCAGCGTTCCAGCCACAACTCAACTCGTTTCTCATCGTTCTGCTTAAGTAGCACTTTCCACAACATTGTTTGAAGCTGATTTTCAAGGGGAACTCCACTGATTTTTCAAAGTTTCTGTATAATTTAGTGTGTGAGGTGTAAACAGATTGATTTGGTGTGAAATGGTTCAGATTTCTTTACAGTGGTGGTGATAGGAACCAGGGGTCGCCATGACTACAACACAAATATGGCCATAGTGAACCTACACGAGTCCTCTGAGTTTTATATGGAATGTTTATGATGGGAAAATAGTGATGAATCTGAAAATAATAAGTTTTCTTCTTTCTCAAAACTATCGTAAAACAGTGTCTCAGTCATCAGGCAGTGAATTCATAACCATTTACTGTAGTAACTTTCTGTGAGGGAGCTTTTAGAGGTGGACGTCTGGTTCCTATCACCACCACTGTGAACAATTATCTGCAAGAAGGGAGCATTTCACAGCAAACCACTCTGAATGACTCTGTTTACATCTCAGTGATTTAAAATTTTGACTGTCAGAATGTCAGAATGTGTCCTGTTTAAAGGCAAGAATAGTGACCAGCCCTTTAGATGGTGTTTACCGTGATTAGTTATTTCTTTATACTACTTTATTAAAGTATAATATATATATATATAATTAAATACATAATAAATAATAATAAATAAATATTAATATTAATTAATTATTAATAAATAATATACTTTATATAATAAAGTGTTATTAAGTGAAATTAATTTTCCTTTGTATTTTCCTGTTTGGGTTTTAGAGAGTAACTCAAAAGGAAAGTAATGAGTGGTGATCACTTTTTTCCAGGTATTAATAGTATTAATAGTATTAATACAGACTGTAAGAGGTTATCAGTCATTTGTAATGGATTTTTTTATTGTCTCCTTTCACTGCTGGAGAAACTGCACTTCCAGATTCAGCTATTGGAACGGTCTGTCCACTGAAACAGGCCTGCAGAGTCCGTCAGTGTGTTTGACCGTGTCTGAGCCGGCTGTGTGTGTTGGGGTGTGTGTGTGTGTGTGTGTGTGTGTGTGTGTGTGTGTGTGTGTGTGTAGTGAAGTGTGTAATTGAATGTTGTTCTTTAATTTAATCCCGTCAGTAAACACAAATGGTGTGAGATTAGCATCAAGCTATGCTTAGCTTAGTTTAGCTTAGTCTGCTTATTGGAAACGTGTCAGTATACTCAAACTCAGAGATCCACATCTCACTTCTCTACCTCCTTTCTCTCACTCTATTCCTTTCTCTGTCTAACTCCCTTTTTCTCTCTTTCACTCTCCCTTTCTCTCTGTCTCTCTCTCCCTACATCTCTGTCCATCCCTCAGTCTCTCTCTCCTCTTCTTTTCTCTTCTCTTTTGTTCTCTTCCCTTGTCTTCTCCTCTCGTCTCGTCTCTTGTTTTTTCCTCTTCTCTTCTCTTCTCTTCTCTTCTCTTCTCTTGTCTTTTCTTCTCTCTTCTTTACTTTTCTCATCTCTACTCTTCTTCTCTTGTCTCTTTTCTTCACTTGTCTTCTCTACTCTTCTCCTCTTTACTCTTCTCTTCTTATCTTCTCTCCTCCTTTCTCTTCTCTTCCCTTCACTTCACTTCTTTTCTCATCTTTTCTCTTCTATTCTCGTCTTCTCTTCTCCTCTCTACTCTTGTCTTCTCCTCTCCTCTCTATTCTTGTCTTACCTTCTCCTCTCTTCTCTTCTCTTCCCTTCCCTTCACTTCACTTCTTTTCTCATCTCTTTTCCTCTTTTCTCTTCTCTTCTCCTCTCTACTCTTGTCTTCTCTTCTCGTCTTCTCTTCTCATCTTCTCTTCTCTTCTCCTCTCTTCTCTACTCTTCTGTCTTTATCATAAACATTTTTTTCTTTGGTCACATGGGTCAACTGATTTGAATTTTTAAAGAAAACAATAGAAAATCACAATCAGATTGTCTGATTGTAAATCAAATAAATAAAAAATGGAAAAATACTGTTAAGATATGATAAAATATCATCACACAAAACCAATCAGAACCAGCTCTGTGTTATTTTTCTATATTAATCCAGTGTCAATTTGGCCATGAATGGGTTAACTGCTGTTGGCCATTATATCATTTAGAAGAATGATTTTCATTTTCCAGTGAAGAACTCTGGGCCTGCGAGTTCTGACCACTGAGACACGTCCAGCAGCAGTGGGGAGGTGATGAAATGTGAAAGTGTGATGAATGTTTAATGCAGTTTTAAGTTTTTATGGGCTCTTTATATTAAAAGCTTCATCTGCCCCAGAAAAGAGGCTCTCTATAACACTAGAGTGGCCACTTTATCAGAAACACCTCTGGTGTAGCTCCACCTCGCTGGTGTTCAGTTACAGCCTGGAGATCATCTGCTGATGCAGTTTGTCAGCCCACTCATCAGCGGTCAGTTTCTGACCACAGAGCTGCTCTTGGAGGATATTTTTGGATGGTGGACGACTCTCAGCCTAGCTGAGCGGACAAGCTAGGTGCTTCTGATAAAGTGGCCAGTGAGTGTAGACCAGCTTTGACTGATAACAGTCTCTCGTAGCTAACCGGGTCGTTCCGCGCTGATCCGGACTCGTGAGACCAGTCACGGTTTCTGTTTCCATCTGTTGTGCTGCTCAATCAGAACCAGGAAATACTGAAGAAAACTATACAAACGAGTGGCACACCACTGACCACAAAACACGTTTGATTCTCTCTGTCACTCCAGCTCCAGTCTCACACCGTGCTCTCATCTAGTTTATCCTCTAAACGGGTGTGATTTGAGCATCTGTTACTGAAACAGTCTGTACTGCGGTGGGTTTCACCTGTAGCCAGATAACTAGCTACATTAGCATTAGCTTCAGCAGAGTACAGCTCAAAGCACCACAGAACAAGTCTATTTTTTATCTGTCACTTCAACACCAGTCATTCGAATTTGTGCTCTCAGATACGAGTCTTTATCCTCTAAACGGGTGTTTTTGATCATCAGTTTGCTAGAACCGAGCCTGTACTGCAGTGGGAGGCACTGCGCAATC